CACATAGCCGTTAGCTTAGAAGTTACGATTTAGAGTTTAACTAGAACACCTCTTATATTTCAACGATTTTTTGAAGTTACAGTTGAGTGATGGGGTTTAAATTATTTATTGTAATGATTTCATAAATTTAAGAATGTAGGGGCGTAAATAGAAACTTAGAGTGGGGTTGTAACTAACTTTACAATTGGTTGGCGAGATCCAACCATTCACATTTGAGATGGTACGCATTTTTCTTATGTTTCCTTTTTAATTTTGATATTGTAAGTGTGGAAACTCTATGAAGGTTTGACTTCCCTTACCTAATTAATATCATTAAATTATTTTTTAATTAATGTTAATTAGAAATGCATTTAGGTCTCGTTTACTTATAAGAAACGCATCTAAAATAATGAAATATAATTCGTTGTTAAAGAAAACTTTTGCCCATGACAGTGGTGTGACTTTTAAATGACAATACTATGCTGGTTAAATATCCGAATTCTGTTTGTCGTTTTTAGATTCACTAAATCCACGATTCAATGAATATGTATGTTGCATTTTTTTTTCTTTTTGAAAATTGTTTCCAAATCCAAATAGTGATTCTTCGATTTTGAATTTGAAACTTTAAAATGCAGAACTACGTAACAAAAATATATAAAAACTTTGGTAAATATATTATTTAAGGTTACAAACTCATTTCATTTTTTTAAATTAAAACATGTAAAATATAATATTATATATAAATTATATAATATTGTTAAAGATAATACTACAAAATTCATAACAAAATGTTAATTATTAATTAACTAATGATTTTAGATTGAATTAAATATTTAGTTGGTAACTATATAGATACACATTGAACCATTTTTTAAATTGATATTCAATTTCCAAATAAGTGTTGGAATGTGATAACCTTGATTTCAAGGATAAAATGGTATCTAGCTCATGTGATTTCGAGGCTTAGTTATGTAAATAGTGTCTATATTGTGCCTAGTTAAAGTTATGAATATTAATTTAGCACACATTTCATTCCTGCGTAACTTAAAAAAAATAGTAGCTTTTGTTGCATTTTCGAAGTAAATACTCTATTTTTCAACAGAAACATGGCTGATTCTGGATTTGTAAAGAGTGCAAACAAAAGTTAGGAAAAAGTGGTGATTCATGATATGAGACATTTTGGATGAAGTCAAAAGTAGAGTAGGATTATGTCCAAAACGGACAATATCAGTGGTTGAATAAGTCAAACCCTTTGTAATCTACCTGTCAAATCCCTAAAAAATCCCAACTATCTAACCATTCATGGAAGCCCTATAAATATAGCATGGGTTGGGAGCTTCCATTATTTCCTTTTACTTTAACTTTAGAATGTACGAGTGAGTGTTGTGAACTTCTTTGAGAGATTGAGATTTGTGTGAACTTTGAACTTTGCGAGTTCTTACTCCCCTCAGTTCGAAAAAGAAATGGTTAGGCTAGATTTTGTCGAATTCTTATATTTCTCCCTTGAGATGTATTAATTCCAACTTGTTATTTGTGTACTTACGTCTCGTGAAACTTTTCTTGCTTTTAGAATTCTGTTTCTTCATCTTTTATTGGTTTATTTCTTTTAAATATGAATTAAATTATCATTTTAGCCTTTCTGTGTATGCCTTAACCAATTTAGAAAAACAACTACATAACTATCGAGGAAGTAGAGCGTCAGCGTTACATTGTTTAACTTAACTGATTGCACTCTTAAATTGATTCTTGGATATGGCCACTTAAGTAATGAAACTAGTTTTAGCCCAATACTCAAATTGTTGGGGAAAAACGGATTTTGTTTAGTTAAAATGAGAAGTAGAATTAGAAAGGGTAAAATGGATTTTGTTTAGTTAATATGAGAAGTAGCGTTAGAAATAAAGTACTAAAACAAGACCTTAAACATAAGACCTCTTACTCATTAAACAAAGGTTGGTTGATTATTTTACTTAGGATTCCAATTGTTCATTGCATTGGTTGATTATTTTACTTAGGATTCCAATTGTTCATACACATATGCAATGGTTAGCCTAATCTTCTAAACAACTAAAAGTAGTTTGGAATACGAGTTGAACTAGGTTTGCATGATGCGGCGTAAGAATGTCAAGCACTTGCTCTGGTTGAATTTGAATTTTTTAAGGCTAGGTAGTAGCAAAATGGTTGCTCTTTTGCACTGGAGTGTCCATATTTTCTTGATCCTACTGTGTTTCTTGAAGTGATGTACCCTTCATATGGCAGTAAAAACATTCAACCTCACCGCTCCCACTCCTCTAGTTATATCCCTGTTGTTTCCCACATCTCATCTTCCCTTTGCATTTACTCTATGCTATCAATGTTGACTCTTAAATGGTTCTCACCATTAGGAGTGGATGCAAAATTCTTCCACTTCCTTTCTTGCGAATCTTCTCAGTAATTGGAGTGTCACAGATATCTGAAAATTTCAGACTCTTGTCTCCCAACGAATTCGACACTGTCGTCTTCATCGTTTTCCAACTATCCGACAAAGAAGACAACAACTTTATGGCCTTCATCTCCTCTGAAAAAGTGATCTCCATCGACTCCAACTAGTTCATCAGTTGAGTGACCTCATTGATGTGGGAGTTCATTGATGTGTCTTCCTCTATGTGAATGTTAAAATATCTCGTGATTAGATAACCTTGCTATTGGTAGAAGGTTTTTCATATCTGTTGTCAGCGCCTTCATCAATCCCATTGCTATTTTCTGATTCGCCACGAGACTTGTCACATTCATTGACAAGCACAACCTGATGATCGTTACGGCCTGTTCATCCATCAACGCCAATTCCTTGTCTATCATCCCAGCCTATCGTTCCTTCAAGGTTTTGTGTATCTTCTTGTATGTAAGAAGATTTGTCACTTGCATTTTCCAAAACCTAAAATTTTCCCCATCAAATCTCAAAACCCCCTCGAAGTAATGATGTGACTTTTCACTTAATCTCATGATGCTGCAACGTTACAGCTCTAATACCACTTGGGAAAATTTACTTACCGATAATATTTTCCCCTTCCACATTTCGTCAGTGAAAAACACAATCGTCAGTGACAATGGATTCTACTATGATATTAGGATAAATACAATGAGTCTCATAAATGCTTAAAGTTCTCCCTAGATGCCACAACAATGACCACCTAGCTAAGCACTACGACAATAGCTATTAGGAGTACATAATGAAAAACCTCACTAACACGGGTTGTGGAGAATGCTCTACAAGCCCACATTCTTATTTTTCTTCTCCGCCAAATAACACCATTACGGCCACTCACATATGTGTGCAACCACACAATGCCACAAAAACACTTCACAGCCAAGTATCAAATTGAGGTGAGCCGCTAGTAACAAAAAAAAAATTATTATAAAACAAAACCTAAAGACAAAAGAGGTAAATTGGACTTTAATGTGTATTTAGGCCCATTTCATTCTTTTTATTTAGTATTTGTTTGGGCTCCACTCGTTTTCCCAACTTCAGGTATTGGTAGAGGTAAGCGGTGAAACCGAACATGGCACTTACGTTGTACATACGTTGGACTTGCCCAAAAAATGCGCATCAACAAATCTAGTGGTTGGTTTTGGATGTTTTAATTTGCATTTTGAATTGGGCAGAGATATCTTTAATTTTAAGGACAATTGTAGTAATGACTAAAATTAATATCGCATCTTAAAAAATGTCCAAACCTATACAATATCGTAATAATTGCTAATTAATTTTTTCCATTAAATTCTAAAATATTTTGTAGACAAATAGAGCCTTGTAACCAATTAAGTATATACGCATAATTTTAGAGATTTAGGATTTTTAACTAATAGCAAAAACAACGAGTCTTCGTTTTATGGAATCAATTATATCTAATCAAATGAATGAAATTTAAATAATTAACTTAAATCTAATTTAAAATTAATAAGCAATTGAGAGTTGAGAAAAAAATATTAAAAATGTGTTGGGGTAGATTTTGAAATTTACCCCTCTAAAATTCCAAAATAAGGGAATAAATAAGATTATTACTAGGTAAATGATAAAATTTTTTACTTGAGTTAGAGAAGTTAGGGTTTTAGGAGTCTCTACCTTTTGGTCTCACCCAACTTCATGCGCCCCACAGCCATCGTCTTTCTCACGAATCAGATCTGCAAGCCACCATCCCGCCACTCACCTTCAAGGCTACCACCCCGTTTAAAAAGATATTTTCGGTTTTCCTATATTTTAGGGTATTTAAAAAAATACAAGTGTGGGACCGACATGTGTCTTTTGTTTATAACTCGATCTGAGAAGTATATATCTACAACTGCAACAACTTACTATATTACTAGTATAACAGGACTTTCAAAGGAATCGTGCAAAATCAACTTAGAAAGTGAAAAAGATGCATAAGAAAAATAACTCATGGGGAGGAACAATAACGCAGGGTTTGAACACAAAACCTCCCGCTCTAATACCATCTAAAGAATGAACAAACCACCACTCAACCCAAAAGTTTAAGCTAATGGATTGGGTAAATTTAATTCATTTATTGGATATCTAATAAATAGTGACTCAAACCAAATATATTATTAAGATTTTAATTTTATTTTGATTGGTGTCGGACTTGATATCTCAAAATATTATATTTGAGTCAATCTATTTATGGTAGTTGGTTCTTGTTGTGAAAGCATCCTATTACCTTTGCAAAAAGGAAAAAGGAAAAAATAATAATATTCTTATTGCATTTAAAATAAATCTTAGGTCAATGGTTCCAGACTTAATTACTGAAATTAATACATGTAACTTACAGAGGGTATTTATATAATATTTATATTTTGAATGAGCAAGAAAAATATAAAGAAAAATTTACTTAGCAAAGTAACAAAAAAATTAAAAAAAAATAAGAGTATTATTATAATCAAAGAAACAAAGCGTCTTAGTTATAATACACTTTCATTATAATTATATAAAAATAATAATAATACACTTTCATTGTATGAGAGAGAGATTATTATAAATTATTCGGTGATGTATAATAAAAGAATAAAGAACTGTTAGATTTTGGCCAACTTTTCATCCCATCAGTCCATCTCATCCAAACTCCTGATGACAATATTCGAAGCCTTTGTGACAACTTCTGATAAGGTCCTAAGAAAAACCAATGAAATAAATTTAGAGGAAAAAGAAACTTTGCCATAAGTATATAAAAAAAAAAAAAAAACAAACAAACAAACTCTACGATTTTATTTTTTTTAGTTTAACAGTCTGTAGAGATAGAATTCGAACATCTAACTTTTTAATCAACTATGTTAATCAGTCGAGTTATGTCTCGACTGGCAAAAAAACCTACTAATTCATTCTTTGATAGAAGAAGAGTTCTTTTTATCAATATCTTTTATTATTTTAGTGGAGTTTGTATTATTGTTAAATTATATCTTTTAAACTTTTAAAATTTTGTTTTTGTATGTGGTGTATTAAATTTTTAAATCAAATCCTTGGGGTCACTAGCATATTTTTGGTGGGATTTATTAATAATGTTTTACTCATGAATTGATGGGGGGTATAGTTCTAGAAAATAACACTGATTAATTATACATAGAAAATTAACTACGTTTTAATATTGGAAAATCTTAATATATAATAAGCTGCTAGCTTTTTTCCATGGTAAAGATTTGATTAGAAACTTTTAATACATATATAGAAAATAGTATTAATTATTTTTAAAAGTTAAAAGTGTAACTGATCAAAAAAATGACATGAATATTATGAATAAAAATAGATATTTAGGCTCTATTTCTTTTTTCTTTTTTTTTTTTTTCATTTCCTTACTCTTTTGAGGAATCAAATTTGAGTCCCACAAATTGTTTAGCTTCTTCGAGAGCCCAATTGAATCGCCTTAGCTCGTCTGATGCATATTCGTTTGTATCCTCTATGCGAAGTTGAGATGGCTTGACATCACAAAAGATAGGAATTACCTGTTTAAGAATAATCAAAAAGAAAATTTAAATCAAATATTTATTATAATCTCATTAATTTTTTTGTTTGTTTTCTCTTGGTTACTAGTCTAATATAAGTATTTGATAACTCTTGTTGTTTCTTATTTTTCACTTTTAATAACGGGTTACAAACTTGTATATAATTTTTTTGAAAACAACCAAATCAAATTTTTTGTTTCTTTGTTTTTCATGTCTATTTTTTTTGGTCCAAAAATATATTAAGAAAAACATCATTTTACTATTATTCTTGACTTGTAAAATCTATGATAAATATCAAAAAATAAAAATAACATAAAAATGTAAATTATTTTAATTATAAAACTTTTACTTTTTTAATTTATAATTTTAAGAAACAATAAATAGTTACTAAACAAGTTTTTGTTTCTTTTTTTTTATGAAAAAGAATAAATAAGAAACAAAAAATAGTTACCAAACATAATTTTATTTTTATTTATTAAAAAAGTGAAAAATAAATGGAAAAAAGAACAAGAAGTTACCAACAGCCTTATAAAGATTTCTATTGACAAATATTTTTTTTTTTTTTCATTTTTCATCTTATAACAATTACAAGTGTTAGAATAATCTTAAAATTCAATGAGATAATTATAAATTAAATTACAATACTTTGAAGATAAATTTTCTATTATTAAAGTTTGTAAAGTCTGGAAATATTATTCTTTTTTTTCCAAAGCTGCAAATACTATTCTATTAAAACAAATCTGGTATACATTATTTATTTATATTGTATCATGTGTTTCTAGGAAAACCTTAGGTTCATTTAATGACGTTTTTTTTTTCCTCAAAAGTCTTATATAATACTAACATTTTTCTTTGATTTATAATCTACTTTCAAAAGTGTTATTGAAATTCTAGGAAATTAAAAAATAGTTTTCAAAATTGGACTAAGACTTGAAAAGTATTTTTAATAAAAATAATAAAAACCCTAATCACTAATAAATGGATGGTAAAAACCCATAATCTACGGTATGATCGGTAGATTTCTCAGTCCACAATGATGTCTATAACTATTTTCAAAATAAAGGTTTAAGATTTGCAAATTTTGAGAACTCAAAAAAAAATTTGTAGCTTTTTTTAATCTATTTTCTTAAATATTTAAAAATTTGCTAAAGTTTAACAATATTTTTTTAAAAATAAAATACGTAGGAAAAGGATAGGTATAAATATCTTCTATAAAAAAAATGATAGGTATAAAATAGGTGACATATGTGCCTTCCTTACGGGGTCATTCACATAAATACCCTCTTATTTATAAAGTAATATTGTAAAACAAAGAAAATAAAATAATTAACAAATATTTAATTTTCAAAATTTCTGAATTAAATCATTATTAAATGCCCTAAGACCCCTAATTAAAAAAAAAGAAATTTAAGTGAGTTGATTAAGATATTAATTTCTTCGATATTTCCATCAACATCTTGTAAAAGAACAACAAAATATAAAAATAATCATCGAAATATTACCAATATAGACATAATATTAATATTAATAATCTTTAATTTATTTAAAAATAATAAATATTTTTTATGAATTTTTTAGAAAAATTTCATTCACAGATCGATATTTTCATAAATTTGATATAAACATTTAAAACTTTTCAGAAAATGAGGACGTGCGATTATGTGAATAAGCAAAAAGAAAAGGAATTCCAATAAAATCCATAGCCACACCTTCTTCTTAGACTCCATGATCATAGCCAACTCATGTAGGCAAAAGTAAGACTCGCAATAACGAGGCGAAAACACAGCCACACCAACTTTACACTGCCAAATCGCCCCATGAATTTCATCAAACAACTTCTCTCCAGGCTTCAGGTTCCTACCCATTAGGAAAAAAAAATAATTATAGACTAAAATAAAACATAAACTTTAAAAGTTTAGAGACTAAAATAGAATATAACGTAATGATCTGCCTGTAATCGAGGAAGGGGCGGAGGTTGAAGCGGAGAAGCCTGTCGTAGAGCAGGGCGGCGAGAGTCTTCTTCGTGTCGACGCCTCTGTGGTTAATGAATACATCGCATGGCTTTATGATCCTTTGGTCTGCGAGCGACATCTTACCCAGCTGAGCTAGAAACTGGCTTGGCGTTATCTTCTGCACAGCGCCCCCCACACGATTCATCGGTTTCGGTTTCGGTTTCGGTTTCGGTTTTGAATTTGGTGGAGAAGATTTGAGAATGGGTTTATATAAAATTGGGGGCTGAATAAGACACAACAGAAATGAGAATTAAAGTGGTTTGAGAAGACGACGTTTGAAAATCAAACCGAGTATACTGGGGTTGAATTGACAGGAATTCTTTTATTTTATTTTTTAAAGCGGCGAAGAAAGTAAAATGAACCTTTGACCACGTAGCGGGGCAATGTTTATAATGTGGGCTTCAAAATATATATTTATTTGAACCTACTTCGTATCAAGACTCTTTCCCTGGGAAAATTCCTGCAACCGAGGCTGTGATTCAATTACAAATTAACATTATATATTTTCCTTATCAGAAAATAAAGTATGGAAATAATCTATATCCCTTGTCTATATGTTCATGTTGATTTTTTTATTGGGTGATTTCTTAATATTTATTAATGTTGAATGAATGCAACTTACTTTTTGAAATGGTTATGGTTGTCACAGAGAATTAATTTTTTATCATGCATTAAATAACTATTGTGGCCGGAAGAAAGGGGTGTGTTGAGGATGCAAACAAAGTTCTACCCAGTTGATCGGAGAAGAGATCTATGGTATATGAGTAAAGTAGTGTTATCTTTATCGATACGAGGCTTTTTTATTAGAAATACGTTGAGTCTCTGTTAACGGATGCTTGACCAAATTTAAATTTATTTCGCGGAAGAAAATCTCTTAATCCAAACCAATTCATGTACACCTCTATTTATAATGCAATTTCTTGGGAATATGGGGCATAAGTGAGAAGGACCTTCGTTAATTACCTGTTTAGGATAGCCATTACTCATGTGCACTTCACATGTTTATGAATTTTATATCATATTGTACTTATGTTCTTTTTGAGGTCCCTTTGTGAAAAAAAAACGAAAAAAAATTATGAGTTCGAATTCTCACCTCTTCATGCTGTACTGACAAAATACAAAAATAACCTTCCCCTTACCATTCCTAAGATAGATCATATATAGATCAAGGAAGGGAAAATCCCTCTTTGGTTCCTTTATGTAGTCAAATAGTTGAATAATGATTTTTGGTATTGTCAAAAAGTTGAATCATGAAAATAGATGGTTGGTGAGTGCCTAACTTTGATCAGGTTCATATTGGAACAACGGGTTCAAAGGTTTAAGCAATCGGTTAGGATTCCTTGGCGCTTGCATCGTTACACTTCCATAAATGGTAAGACCTGTTGTTATCGCTCCAAACTTTCAATTTGAGTAATTTTCCCACCAAATCTATAAAGTTGTTACTTAAATTTTGTTGTTATATAATTCCATTGGCAAATTGAAAAAAAAAATAGCATAAATCACTACACAACCTTAAACGTTTGGTTACAATTTAATCCACAAATTATATAAAAAATAAGTGTTACAATTAAACCCAAAATTTTGAATTCAAGAAAATTTTCAAGCTAACATGATCTTAACCAAGAAGTTAGAATTAGATAGGAGTATGCTGTTATGTTGCACTCCAAGAAGTTAGAATTAGCATCATCTTCAAAAATGTATCTTTTCATATGAAAAGAAAAAAATGAAGAATGTGTCACCATATATTTAATTAAATATAAAATTACAATAACTCATTACTTTACTCCTATTATTATATTTTATACTTTTAAATTGTTAAAAATCTCGCATTCACAAGATAGAGACTCAACACAATAAAAGTTTATAAAATAAATAGACTACTTCTCTTATTATTAATTGGTTTTAAAATGGAACTTTAAAAATATTGACGCGATCATATTCCAACCCCACAAATTCAAATAAACATATGGATATAAATGGTAGAAATTATCTCTTAAAACTTGCGTAATCCTGGTAAAATTGTTAATAGGATCATTTGCTTAAACTAAAATTTCAATAATGCAACTTCTAATTTTTTTTCTTTCTTTCTTCTTAAATTTTTTATTTTTTATTTTTTTTACAAAAACAATTAAGTAAACAATTAATTTTTATTTTCTAAAATTGCTAAAATAAAAAAATATTTATAGTGAAAATAATTCTTAAAAAAATACTCCAAATACACAATCATACAAAAATCAAAATTATATTCTTCTTTTAAAAAGTTTTATCATAGTGTCTACTCTAGTGCAAAAACCTAAAACATGAACCAACATGAGTTTTACTCTTTTTTTTTTCTTTTAAGAATTTACCTAACAATTAAAAGGTATTAGAAATTTAGAGTTTAGCTCCATGGTAATTAACAACTATTTTTGATTGATAGGTGGTGAGAACTCACCTTCAGGTACTAAAAATAATAATAATAAGGTATTAGTAATTTAGAAGGAAAGAAAATATTGTGATTCTTCCTTAAATATTTTAATTTTTTTTTTCAAATTTGTGGCCAGTTAAATTTTCTTTTCATTGTTTATTTATTCTTTTTTAAAATTTGGTCATTTCAGAGTTCACTTTTATTCATTCTAGTTTTAAAATGTTTTTGCACTTTTTGAATTCCCAATTCTCCTTTTTTTTTTCTTCCTTTGTATGGTCATATTTCGGAAAGGGATTTCTCTCTTTCTTCATTCTTTGAATTTTTTTCTTTTTGTCTTTATGTTCTCCCTCCTTTTTCCTCTTTTATTATTTTAAATTTGAACCATATTGAGTTTCTTTTTCTTTTTTCCTTTCAAACCTACCTGACTCCTTGAATAACTCCATCTCTTATATGTATAAATTATAGTTTGTCACTATGCTTTCATCTCTCAACTTTATTTCGATTCATGAACTTTAAAATTAACGGTTATAGTTAGAAGATTTTGTATCAAAAATTTATTTTGGTCTTTTATTATTTTTTAATAAATTATTTCATAGAAACACATGATATTGGCATATCTTTTGTTTATTTACTCATGAATAGATGGTTTATATAGACAAAGTATTTTAAACTTACATGCACTAGGTCAGATATTAAATATTTTTATTTATAGATTGTAAGTTCTTGTTAAGTGATCATAAAATTTGGGTGAAAAAAATTATCCTAAAATTAACGGTAAGAACTAAAAAAAAAATTTAGACAAAGTTTTGGGACTAAAAAATTATTTAAAAATTCAAAGACCAAAATGAAATAAATACAAAGTGCAATGCATACATATATGAATTAAATGGATCTCTGTTATATATTAAGAAAAATATTAAAATACAAGCTTAATTGGTTGTCTTTGGAATTTTCAGATCAATTATATCTAGGATGACAACGCTTGGACAGGTTAGGGTTGGGATATCCCCAACCCTGCCTTGTTGGGATTTTTCTCCTCATCTTCGATCACATCCTCGAAATTTTTGGGCGGGAACAAGACGGGTGGAGATTCCTCCTCGTATATTGGGGATTTTTTTAGAATATACCTATTTTCTTCTTTAAAAATGTTTTAATTTTTTTCATAGAATATAAGATAAATGAGTATAATTAAATACCATTTTGGGTTGGTGTTTTAAATCCAAAAAATCTTTAATGGTTAAAAAATTATAAAAAATTAAAATTAGGGTAAATCTTTAATTATTAAAAAATTATAAAAATTTAAAATTAGGGTTACGCAAGGAGAGAGAAAGAAATTTGAGGTTTTTAAATTTGATAAAATATTCATTAAGATTAATATGTTATTAATATTATTTAATATAATTTATTAGTATTAATAATTATTAATTATTAAATAATTAAAATATTAACGGTGTGGGCTCGGGGATGGGTATGAGACAGAGATACTCTTCTCCTTCCTTGCTGGAAACCCCATTTAAAATCAGCGATTTGACCCCATACCCGATCAAACTAAGGATTTTCCAACCTGATCGAGGTGAGTATTCGAGGGGGATCGGATCCATGGGATTTTTTTTTTTTTGTCATCCTTAGTTATATCTAATTCAATCTTTGAACTTTCTAACTTGTATTTAATAAACTTTATCCTTTTAAACATTTTTTAAAATCCAGAGATTTATTAGACACAAAATTATAATTTCAAAATTTATTAAATAAATTTTAAATTTTAGAGACTTATTAGATTCCTATAGAAAATTAAAGTTTAGGAAACTATTCATTAAAATTAAAGATCAAACTTACTTTTAGTAATCGAAACAAAAATGTATGAACCAGTCCATATTTTACCTAAAAATACAAATGACCCTAAGAAAAAGGCAACCGAATATTGTATGAAAAAGAAATCAATATGATAAGTATATTATATTATTCTCGATTTGTTTTCTAACATGGTATATTTTTAGATGAAGTGATGGATACGTTACAAGACATATCCATTAAAAAAATTTAAATAAAAAATAATTAAGTAAATTTAAATAATAAAAAAACCCCCAATTGATAGGTCAACCTCAAGGTCCTGTAGAAATTCCATTTATTCACAGCTTTTTGCTTTTCCTTTGACTAATAAATGAACGTTGGATTTCACTTTATATAGCCTATACGGGTGGGCTCCTTTGCCCCCTCCCCCAAAAAAAAAAAAAAGTTCATACACGATTTTGTTTTAAGTTTTTTGTTTTTTTTTTAATTATACCTGTTTATCCTACAATATCTTTTTTATCTTCTTTACCTTTCTTTGTAACACATTTGAATTTTTAGTTAAATTTTAAAAAAAAAATGGTTAAAAACTAGTTTTTGTGTTTTTAAAATTTGGCTTAAATTTTGGAACCGTTTTTCAAAATGCTGACAATAATATAGGGATACACGGGTGGAAGGAGTGGTTGTGAGCTGATTAATTTTAAAAAAGACAAATTGCAAAAACCACCCCTGAAGTATGGTGGTTGTTACAATTACACCTTTAAACTTAATGGTAAAAATTAAACCATTGAACTTTTATAAATGAAAAAATTAAACCCTCAAACTTTCAATAGTAAAAATTAAACCCCTAAACTTTCACATATGATAAAATTGCACCCTCTAATTCAAAAATTGTAAAATCTAAACCCTAAAATTTTAAAAATTTGTATCTATTTGACAATTTTAAAATTAAAATTTTTTTTTCTGTTCGTGGATATTCGATTTTGCAGACAAATAGTAGTTCACAAATGGAAATATGTTCCATTATTCATTAACTTGCGAGGGATTTAACAAAACAGTGGACATTATTTTCCATTTCAATTTGATTTATTAATTACCTATGCGTACAAATCTATGCCCCAAAACTTGGCGGGGCATTTGATATTTCCTGTCAATTTCAACGATAGAATTATTCATGTCTTCTTTGTAAGCTTAAACTTAAAAACTTTGAGCAATCTCTCTAATTTACACGTCCCTAAGAG